AAAAACTATAATGATATTTTTGTAATTAGGAATTTAATTGGTCTAGTGAATTACTAAAAATAAAAATACAATCATAATATAATAAAAACTATAATTAAAGCTTACTAAATGGAAGTAATTTAACCGTACTCATTTTTTTTGCGAAGGTACATGGATTAAAGGAATACGTAAAAAATATTTTTTATTAATTTTTCGACAAATTATTTTTAGTGACAAAACATTTTTGTTTGTGTTTGTTTAGTGTGGGTGTATTAAATTATCATTCTCATTTTGCATGTAATAAATGTTTGTCATTGGAATTCTATTCACCAGTCAGTCTGAAATATTTCAAAGTGTTTATTACATATCAGATAGACCGCATACCATAAGCTAATTTCTGTGACATTTTTTAACCTGCGTTCTGAGTTATTATTACAGAACAGTAGTGTGAAACATATAAAAATAATACAACCAACACCTGACAGTTATCTATTTAAATAAATAATACATCAGTTTGCAATATTGTAATTCATAAAAGTAACGTTAAAAATAAATTATTGGTTTATTTTGATTTAAAAACATAAATTGTAAAACATTTACTATAGATTTATTAAATAAAATATTTTATTTTATTTTAATTCGTAATTCAATACCAAGACATTTAATGCGATTTATTTGTAAGAAAGCTAAATTATTGGATAGTTACTATTTATTAAAAAAAGTCTCTTTTTTTTTGTATTTCAAATTCATAAATGTTATATTAAGCGTTATGTTAAGCTTATAAATTAAAAATTTAACTGCTGTAATTTTTTTAGTCACTGCTGTGTAATAAAAATCAAATAAAATTTTATATAATATAAGAATTTTTTTTTATTAATTCATTTTTTAATGATAACTAATTGCTAGAATAATAATTAGATTGACTATATTCTAATTTTCATAATTACTCTTTAAAATTTGATTTGAAATAATTATTTTAATATATGTATAATGAATGAGTAAAACGATCAGTCGACTAAGTTTGGATAGTGAAGATTTAATGACGAGTTTATTTCGCGCCAGAACATAAAAAAGTTATTAACATAAAATGTATTTATTCATAAAAGGTTAACAACCCTTTAAATCATTTCATTATAAATTTCTTTTATTAGTTTGATAAGTTTCAAGAATTAACCTTATAAAATACTAACTGGTAAAATATTAAAAAACAATTGATAAAGGCAATTTAAATTTTTGTGCTCACAGTTTTATTTTGAAATATCGTAAAAATAATAGGAATTATACTTAATAAATCACAGAATGTAGCAAGATGTGCTGACAGGTATTATTAAAGATAATGCTTTCTTCAATATTTTTATTTTTATTTAAGGATTGTATTCCATTTCTATCAAATATAATGCAACACTGTTTTGGTAGAAATAAACAATTTTTTTTTAAGATTTTTGAACATATTTACACTGATATACATAGTATTAAAAAAAAAAATTGTATTTTTTAAGATATTTCACGAGACATAGTAAACAGATCACTCTGTATTTAATAAACCATACTGTATATATATATAGTCTTATTAATAACTTGATGAAATAAAGTAATAATACAATATAATAATAAGAAATTTTTAGTTCGAACTTCAAGGTTACACACATACCGGTTTTTTATTTATTAATTTTATTTATAAAATGGGTTGCATTTGTAAAATTAAAACTCTCTCTGTCGATTAAAGTATAAATTGGTTTTTACATTTTTATACAAGTATAATAAAAAATAATAAAAGTTATTTAAAAACGGAAACACAGTGCGGTTGTGGCATAGTTGGCACAAGTAAAGATGATATCTGACAGTGATTAAAATCACCATCATAAGGAACGCTTCAATGAAAATCAATACATAGTGTTTAACTTTAAGAAATTGGTGGATTATTCTAAAAGTAAGGAGGGTAATATCTTTAACTAAACACTAGTTGTGATCATAACACGTATTGTTTTAAAAAATTGGTCGAGTAAGAGTTGAGCAAAATGGATGATAGACCATATAGAAAAATATTTTAATACGAATAAGAAATTCCTTTTCACAAAGAGAAACTACAGTGGTAGTGTCCTTGATATTCATTGAAGTTATACAATTTAAATGAGGTAAAAATCAAACTAACTTTGATTTTCATTTCCATCTCAAAAAGAATTAAGAAAAAAATTCAAGCAAATTTGGACCCAACCCAACCGGGTAGGTTTCGGACCTCGACCCGAGCATGTAAGACTATATTCTATTTGACGCAACCATCGTGCATTACATGAATGTAAATGCTAAAAATGACAATTTTAACTAGTTCTAAAAATCAAAGCCGCTTTTTTTTTTTTAACTTTGAGGAGGCAAAATAATTGAAATAAGTTAAAATTTATATTAAATGTAAGTTAGGTTGTTGCAAATTTTATAAATATTGGTGGACTTATTACTATGGCAAACCCTTTAAAAGTATTTTAAAATAAACAAAAACAAAATTTAAACACAAAAATAGCAAGTAAACGTTATCTAATAGTAACGCGACAAGACAAAACAAGTTAAAAAAAATCTGCAAAACGATAATAGATATGCTAGCACGACCCTATCGAACTAATCAAAGTATATGTGTCATTGATGATGTAATAAATTTAACGTCACTAACGTCGGGTTGATATATTTACATATTTATTTTTGTAAAAATTTGACTAAGCATATTTATAATGTTATTTATATGAGAATTTTGCTTATAGCGTCACTAACAACGGGTTAAAAAAGTTATTTCGATATAAAGTGAAAACTAAAAATATCAACATTGACTGTTTTAAGATAATTTTTAGGTACATTTCTCTTTATTACTGGGACTGAGAAGAACATTCCTAAATTATAGTGCTAATAGCTTTAACTAGATCTTTTTATATAATTTGAGTAAACTCGGGTCCAGTAAAAGAGGAGTAATAAAGACAAAAAAAAAAAAAAACGGCAGAGTAAAATCAATAGATTCTCAACTACGAATTGATGTTAGATCGTTTTTTTTTCCTGTATTAATAAATACTCAATTCGTTCGAAGGGTATTTATTTAATTATGTGTTTCATTACTACTTGTATAGACTGACAAAATTGGACAATCGGCAATAACATAACTAGATGTTGACGTCTCTAGGTGATAACGTCTCTAGGTGATAACGTCACTAGGTTGTAATGTCTTTTGGAGTATAAGAGAGTACTTTTCTATGAGATTTCAATATATGTTCAATATATGATGGTTAAAATTGTTTTCCATGTATGTATGTACGGTTTTTTTTGTGACTCTTCCAATAAAATATGTTTAATATTTTTTAGTTTTAAATTAATATTCTAAATATATTTATAATTTTAAATAATATTAAACACAAATGATCGGTTTTTATTTTATACAGAAAAGTTGTTTGTAATGTTTTACAAAAAAAAATTTACTGAAGATCTTATACAATATATTTACTATTTCAAAGGCTTATAAAGCAACTTGACTTATAAGTTAGGGGGATGAACCTACAATTTTTTTCAATTTTTTCGTTATATAACAGTTAGTTATTGTCAAATTTTGATCTAGTTTTTTTTACTTGACTCTCGTTTACAGATAGAAGATAAGTGATAATTTTTTTTTTTTAACTTGGTGTTAAATTAAAAANGCAACTTGACTTATAAGTTAGGGGGATGAACCTACAAATTTTTTCAATTTTTTCGTTATATAACAGTTAGTTATTGTCAAATTTTTTTCTAGTTTTTTTTACTTGACTCTCGTTTACAGATAGAAGATAAGTGATAATTTTTTTTTTTTAACTTGGTGTTAAATTAAAAATTATATTTAAAGAATTGCGAATTCCAAAAAAATTGTTTAAAGATAACAAATAAATAATTAACTGAATATGAAAATCTTGCTATCTTAGATCTATCTGTTAGTAGACAAGTGGTTGAATTTTCGAAAAAACTTTATTTTTTAAGAAACAAGGGAAATTTTTGTTTCTAATTTTAATGGTAATATTTTCAACTACACTTGTATCTTTTAACTTATTGTTGAGTAATATCAGTACAATAGGAACTGAGAATTTATGGTAACAAATACAAAAAAAATTATAATTGTAAATTAATACTTCCCCAGCATCACATTGTAATTAAAATACTGTTGTTTTTACTCTAATAATATTTAATATTGTAAACATTAACAAGCAAATTTTACTAACTTTATTTTGGGAACGTTACTAGAAATATGTACATAAATTAATTGTGAATGACCGGTGGGTGGTGAAAAGCTATTGTTGACACACATTGGCGATAAAATGGTCGTCAGTCATTGTGTCAAGTATTAGGGAAAATTATAATTTATTTTTAAACATATGTGAAGGTAGTTCTTGTACAGTTTCGTCTACAAGGGTTATATACCCTATTTACCTACCGCAATAGTGTGTTCTTCAACATATGCTTATATTTTGACATGCTATCTAATATCCATCAATGACACATTTTTGACATTTTACTATTTTTTTGTCACTATAATCCTGATGAATCAAATTTATTGTTCGATATTATAAATCATCAAATACTCGGCATACTCTATAAACAACATCATTTTAGTTGTAAGGAGCAAGTACCAAAACATTAAGCTGCACATGGCGTACATTATAATTGTTTATGGATACGTATCGATGATGATTCATAAAGGCGTTTTATTTTATGTCATATCGTTTTTTATCTCTAAATAACTTCCTAAAGCTTAAATGTATCAACCAACACTCCAACCAAGTATTAACGGTTGTCTGCGTAATAGTTATTATATTGCAATAGAACAATATATACGTATTTCGCGATGCGAAACATTGGCCAATAAAACAACTAAAAGTAATAAACTCTATCACGGGATTCATTTTTTATAGAAAGTTTTATAGGGTATCCTATACAACACAAGTAAATACTTAAAAAAATTTTTTTCAAAGATATTACAAAAAATAAAATGCCATAATCGAATGAATAAGTATAACACTTACTTGTTGGATCAAATCCCACTACATAGGATGGACAAGGTGCTAATGCCACTTCACCAGGTAACGTTTCTTCCCAACATGCCCACCCATCAAATGTTTTTGGACATGATTTAGTAGATTCAACTGTAAGTGAACAAATTAGTAGCAAGATTGAGATAAGATCCTAAAACTGATTTTATGTTACCTGTTGAATTGATCAAACATTTATGTTTAAGATGCCGTAGCAAATTGACCAAACTTAAATTATGAAAATTTGTTCCATTATTTAGGTCTTGCATTCTAAAACAAGTTAATTTTTTTAATCATAAATAAGCGTGTTATTTTTCAATAATAAAATATTTTATTAATTTTAAGCACTTCTTAACACTAAGTAATTAGTATAATTTATTTTTATATCATTTATTTATGTACAATTTTTCATTGTAATTAAATATACATACAGGTATTTTTGAAGTGCAATAGTTATAGAAAAATTTAAATAAATTGCACGGGGGGTGTTGAATATTTGAATACTAGAAATTTTTTGTAAAATATTTTCGACAAAATAGTTTTAGGAAATGCTATCCAGTAGTTTAACAAGTCCAGCTTGTTATATTATTAAGTGTCATTAATGATGTCCCGTCGGTTGTAACCTTGTAAGCCCTGTTGGAGATTGTAAAAATTGAAACTAATCAGAAAAATACTATTACTTATTTGCTTACGTGCTTATCGTTAAACATTAATTATTTGAGTGTCTTAGGCCTTAGTCAAATTTAACTTACTCTTAGATTCTGTCATAAAGCCGAAATAAAGGATTGGTAGGCGTTTGAAACAATTACAATAGATATAAAATATGTTATTGTCAAGATTAGACAACGTTAATGAATCTTTTATTTCTCTGGATGTCTTATGTATAAAATATGAAATTGTTTTCCATTTGTTAAAACAAATCTTAAAACTGAAGTGACGGCTAACTTGTCGACAATACTTAATAATAGACTTTCTGTTATATGTTTGGAGAAGTATATACTTGATATGGGCATTAAATGGAATTAACATAGAATGTGCCAGATGGGACTTGGCATTACGTTTTATTAAATGTTTTAACCAAGCCTAGAGAGACGAGCAAGAAAATGTTGAATAAACCTTTAAATATTTTTGCTAAAATATTATGTTTTTTTGTAATTCTTGGACAACCTGTGAAGTCTATTGAGGTCTATTTTCTCTGCATTATAATTCATCTTCTATTATTATCCACATAGGTAAGTGATTAGTATTTAAGGACTATACCATGAGTATATCACGTTCAATGTATATTATAGATTATTATTATTATTATTATTATAAACTCGATTATAATATAAAAGCTATTAAATGCTTTTATGATGATTTTGTTTCTATTCACAGCATTGAAAATAATTAATAAATAGTGAATGTTTGACATTAAAATTTATAACTTTTCATACTCATTTAAAGTGTATAAATATAAAATACTGATTACGGAAAAATAATATACGATTGATTGAAATAAGAAAAAATTGAACTGGTGTTGTTAAAATATCTAATTAAAGATTTCTAGTGTTTTTATACAGAGTATAATTGAAAAGGTTAGCGCATAAATGTGTTAACTGACATTCTTTTAATAACTAGATGAAATTACTATAACCAAGTAAAATTATATTTTAGAGTATTCATAGATCAATATTATTCCTCTTATAAATTATTCGATATATTTTATATCAAAAAAGTTCCATATATTTTTAAGTTTTAACTGAAAAGTAGCATTCCTGAATAATTACAAAAATGTCAGCTAACACATTTATCCACTGACTCCTTCAATTATTTCTGATAACTTACTTAAATTAATTTTTAAAATTTCTTTTGTGATAAAGAATTGAAAAAGTTGATATAGGCAGTTTCAAATATCATTGTAAAAAAGTGATGGTAATTAATTTTACAAATAAAATTATTTATAATGTAATAATAAAGTTATCTTAATATAGATCAATACTGTTGAATTAAATTTTTTCGTTTTTTTTTATTTAAAAAGCTTTCAATACAGAAGTATTATTATAGCTAAACGATTAAAATAAAATTATACAATAATTTTTTCGTTTTATTCTTATAATTTAAAATTATTATTTTGTAGTATCTGATATGATTAAAAAAAATTTATACCTTAGCTAACATCTTACCTAATTATTTTCTCGCAATCTGAGTAAAGGAGTGGCTTAATATACATTAAGCAACTTTTATCAAGTCCAACAATTACTTAAAATTAAAAGCACATCAATAATTTAATTGGATAAAAAATGAAACAAAATAGCGGTTGTCCGCTCTTATGTGCCTTTTTATTTAAAATATGAATTTAATAACAAATATATAAAAACAGATACAATCTTTAGAAATGCATCACAAAAAAAAACTTTTGTATAATTAATACTACTTTAAATTTTCAACAATGTCAACTTTTAGAGTTTATTTTTTAGAAATAAATATGTTTTAGTTTTATATAATAAACGCAATAACAATATTAGAACACTCAGTAATTGCTTTTATAATAGAAATATTGCACAAAAAAAGTTCAGAACTCGGTAAGCCAATTATTTGATAGTTGCTTATGAGGCCTACTTACAAATAACCTACCTAGTTAAAACAATACTATTTCAGCTACACGTCAAATTTAATAATGATATAAGGCATCCCCGAAAAGTTTCAAAGTTTCAAAGCGTATGACGGTTATAATATATTTTTTCTCTGAATTCTATTTGTCTGGCATGTTAAGCAAATCTTTATAAATGAAACAAGTGATTTGGGAGATTTTTTAAATGCAACCACCACATATATATCATTTACCATTGATCTTCAGCAATAGATTTCGCTAGCAAATGTTGCGTAGTATTCTGAATTACAAAATTTCACATAATATTTTAGAAAATAGTTTTCATATTTTCGAGAAAACGTTGATGAATTAATTGGTTAGGATAAGGTACTCGAATTAATTTTTTAGTTTTATTAAATATTCTAAACAAATAATAAATAATTAAATATTTTGTTCAATAATATATTTTTTCTGGTAATAAATATTATCAAATAGGTTATATTCTTTCGTTGCATTATTCACCTTTTAATAAAATTCTTAAATACGTTTCTGCAAAGTTTTATTAAAATTTCGTACCAGGAATTCATAAGGTAGTACGAAACGAGTTAACAAAATAATATTTTAAACTGTATTTCTTAACAAATAGCACATTTTAGTACCAGGATCTCATAAGAACTAATGAATTTTAACGAACATCATGTGTTTCGAGAAGGTGTCCGCAGCTCGCTGTGGCCATGTTTTTACCTTGTTATTGATACAGTGTGGTGTATTATGTGCGTTATGAATAGACGACTAAGTAAGAACAAGAACGACACGTTCTACTCTGTATATTAGTGCATCGTGGTAGTCGCAACTGACATAATGGCGAAACCTATTCTTGGTGACACACCAAATTCACAGGTCTAAAAATTTTTAACTTCATTTTAATTCATTGACGTTGTAGTGCTTTGTCGTTAGCGGGACACGATTTACACCATAATAGACGTTTGCGGGGACACGCTTCTGATTGCACGGTGTACAACACCACTTAATTGAGAATTTATAAGCTAATGTCTAAAGGCCACAAACATATTTAAATACAATTATGTTATTCAACTATTGGCAATTCTTATGAGTTCCTGGTACTAAAATTGTATTTTTTCTCTGAAACTTTTTAAAATCAAATAATTGTACAAAAAGTTATAAAAGTTTTTAAAACTTATTTCAGCATTCATTTAACATCAGCCTTGTTTTCAGTAAATTTCAGTGACGTATTTCGGATTTTTTTTACAAAGTGGGTTATATAAAAACAATTTTTATTCAGGTTATATTACAAACGAGTAAATATTTTCGTTTACATGTATTCAATTCATAACTTCCTTTTAGGTACGCCATTGGTTTCACTATTATAACCATTTAGGATTAGATAGGCCCATCTAAGTTGGTTGCTCGCGGCTCCCTAAGTACTAAATCCAGTTCTGTTCATACTACACATTTACTATACATATTAAAATATTAATAGCTTTTATTATTAACCATTCATATGTATTTTACGGTATTTATCTTTAATATATTTGTACATTTGGACTAAGTTTTCTATAAATATTTTTTAATAACTGTATCTTTTATGGAATACCGTATAAATTTATGTAACATTATCTTCTCTTAATGATAACATTAAACGAATGAAAAAATAAAATTTGTCGTAGAAAAAGATCAATTTTATTTGATAATATTTTAATGTATAATTAACTAAAGAGCATTTTATTCAATATCGCATTGTTAAAAATAATGGTTTTCTTTTTTCTAAAATTAATTGATTATTATAACAAAACATAATGGCTAGTAAATTTTTGTAAATTACTAGACACGTTTTTTTTTTTTGGTTGTACGAGTTTACTAAAATTATCTAATAAAAAACTTTCTATTTTTTTTTAATAGGTAATAAATATGATGTAATTGATCGTTAAAAATTTCAAGTACATAAATGGGATTATTTAGTTATTAAACGGTAATTTCTCAACAAGGCGTGTTTCGTTGTTTCTGAAACTAATTAAAAGTTTTGACAAAAGCAAAACGTTACACATGAGTATTAATTTTGTTAATGTACCGCAAAAAAAAAATATATATATATATACTTATTTATTATAATCATTTTTTTTTTAAGATTGCCCATTATTTTATAGTTACATTTATTTTCAAAATATTTAATTTGATATGTGCGTGATAACAGTATTTATGAACTATTTTGTAACATGTGGCTGTATCGTATTCTATATTTTTTCCTCGACAAATTTTATTCATAGTTCATAACTTTCGGTTATTATTTTTATTCTGTCTAGATTAGTTAAAAGCCTTTTTTTTTTATTAATTTACTTTACTAAATATACAAAACAATGCGGTACAATTATTTAATATCAAGTGAAGAATATTACTTGAAATTAAACAAACCATCAGGGGTAGTCATTGCATCCTACAAATTTTTTTTTTAATAGTTTTTTGCACTCCAGAATGACAAGTTAATTTATCACCGTAAAAAGAAATGATGGCTAAGTTTTAAAGAACATTTCGGTACCACGATTTAAACCAGTAACACTATACTCAAGATACTAATATTTTGTCAACTTAGCTGCATTTGTCTCTTTTGAATAAAAAGAGATGAAATCGTTAAATTATGCTTGCACAATAAAACTTAATTATTTCTAACAAATACGTAAAG